GCTATTGATTGCCGGCCACTTTGTTTTTGGGCCATCAGTGTACCCCTCTGGTTTACCTCAACCCATGAGTTCCACCCCACATCCTGTTGGGCTTAGGGTTTAGGTTTAGGGTGTTTAGGGTTTAGGTTTGGCCAAGAATACCCCAAAACACTGGCCCTGTTTTGGTTTTGGGCTTGAGGATTTTTGGGGTTTAGTTTTTTTTTGGTTTGGGTTTGGAGTTGTTAGCATTCATTTTTCGTAGCCGAGTTTGCAAGACCCTGGTCGGGGCTTAGCCTCCAAAGTCCCAAAACGCTGGCCCTGCGCAGTAATTTGCATTTGCGGGCATCCTGTCCCGAGGGGTGTTGGGGCAAATGCCATGGATTGCGGGCTGGTTTCTACTTTGTCTTAATCAGGCGCCAAGGCTTGAATTCCCCAAAACGGCAATCCGAAGGGGGCGCTGCCCGCCAGCCTGGCACGATAATGCCCATGGTAGACATTATGCCGTCGTCGGCCTCGTTTGTGTCCTGCAATGAGTCAAAGCTGGAGCTGGCTGGTTTCTAGCAAATTCTGCCCATGTCAGGTCAGCTTGTCGCGAGCTTGTCGCGACCAGCCTGCGCCACGGAATCCAGTCCCTCAAGATACCCCAGAAAACCAGCCCCAACACCGTATTGAAACCCGATGGGCGGATTAATGCTATTCTGATTCATCCTCAAAATACTGAGTGTTCGGAGAATGGCAAATATGATTCTGCCAGATCTTGCTAAATCTCTCTATAGGTCTGGCTCCCTTCGTTCTGTCCTCCAGGTATACGTAGACTTTGTACGTTGCAGGCCCTCTCTGGAAGTAGCAGAAGAGAAACTCCTGGCAACGTCCATGCTGATTCCCCACAGGGCTGGGCAGGAGATATCGAATCAGCCTCACGTTTGTGTTCATCTTGCTTTTCAGCGCCAGCTGTTGCACCAGCTGAGCCTCAACTTACAGTAATTACACGCCTGAGCTGAAATCAACCCTCCGGATCACCCGTGGCGAAAGAATGACATAACTACCTTGAAAGCGAGATCAAGCCAATCACAAGTCGAGCACCAACATCCGCTCCTCATCCTTCACCAGACCGCCCGTGACGAATCGGCGTTCCCGCTTACAGTCTGCGGCTGGCTGACCGTATTGCCTGTGAAGCAAAGCGCGGAGAGCTCTCCGGTAGTGGCTCAAATCCGCAGAAGTCAGAAGCCACAAAAAGTGATCAGCCAAGGCACATGCTCTTGATGTTCCAGATGGTAAGAACGCCTCAATGTGTCGGAACATGGACAGTCGCGTAGCAGATGCTTAAGCATTGGAATCACCCGACGCCTGACCCCTGTTTCAACGGCGTCTCCCATGAAAAATACAGCTTGACGTTCTTGTTACTCCCCACAGTAGTCGCTTCGATTCTACCGGTGCGACTGTGCTCGCGGCGACAAGGCAAGAACTCCTGTGCTGTGTGTCTCTGCGTGTGTTTGTCTCTATGCCTGTGTGTGCGTGTGTGTGTGTGTGTGTGTGTGTGTGTGTGTGTGTGTGTGTCTCTCTGTGTGTGTGTGTGGGTGTGTGTGCGTGTGCGCGTGTGCGCGTGTGTGCGTGTGTGCGTGCGCGTGCGCGTGTGCGTGTGCGGGTGCGTGGGCGTGCGCGCGTGTGCGCGCGTGTGCGCGGGTGTGCGCGGGTGTGCGCGGGTGTGCGCGTGTGCGTGTGCGTGTGCGTGCGCGTGCACGTGCGCGGGCGATTGCGCGTGTGTGTGTGTGTGTGTGTGTGTGTGTGTGTGTGTGTGTGTGTGTGTGTGTGTGTGTGTGTGTGTGTGTGTGTGTGTGTGTGTGTGTGTGTGTGTGTGTGTGTGTGTGTGTGTGTGTGTGTGTGTGTGTGTGTGTGTGTGTGTGTTTGTATGTGCCTGCCCACGTGCGTACGTGCGTGCGTGCGTGCGTGCGTGAGCGTGCGTGCGTGCGCGTGCGTGCGCGTGCGCGTGTGCGTGCGCGTGCGCGTGCGCGTGCGTGCGTGCGTGTGGGTGCATGCGTGCGTGTGCGCGCATGTGTGTGTGTGCGTGTGTGTGCGTGTGTGTGCGTGTGCGCGTGCGTGTGCGCGTGCGTGTGCGTGTGTGTGCGTGTGGGTGTGTGTGTGTGTGCGTGTGGGTGTGGGTGTGCGTGTGGGTGTGGGTGTGGGTGTGGGTGGGTGGGTGGGTGGGTGTGTGTGTGCGTTTGCGTGTTTCTTGTGCTTTCTGTTGTTTGCGTGTGTCTTTTTTCCTTTTTTGTCGTGCAGCTTTGCCCAGACTGCTCCCAAAGTGCAAAAACGAAGAAAACAAGTTAAACAAGTATGACGTTTCGCTTTGAAATGCATGCGTGCCCGCCCGGCCATCAGCTCCGCTACTGAGCCCAACTGCCCACCCCCAGCGGCAGGCAGCCCGTCCAATCAATGCTCCCCAAGAATGAGCTTCCGCTTTTTTATTGCTATTGGGCAGGGGAGACACTCAAAACGCATACATACCTTACCTTTGGACTTT